GCGTGGCACTTGTTCCTACTAGCTTCTTGTTACTACTAGTAAGGCACCTGTTACTACTAGCGTGGCACTTGTTACTACTAGCTTTTTGTTACTTAAGAATGAAAAAGGGTTCCTTTCGCCCCGTGTTTGGGGTTTTCCGGGACGCTTGCAGGTCTGGTCAGTTGCGTGAAGTAAGCGGTAAACGAGGCGTAGCTGCATGATCAAATATTTTGGGGGGTTGGTCCATTGGTGAATCAACAGTCCACATGAAGTGCGTAGGGCATTTGATTGGAATCTATGAGTCCGTGGGAAGGGGCTTAGCCAACAGAACGCACTAGACACCCACCATGTATTTCGTTTCTTCAGGTCGCCGGATTCCAGCGTGGCCTGACCAGCCTCCAACTTCAGCAGTATACTACTCAGTATACCTAATTCATCTCTCCATGTAATGGAGCTTCTGATAGATAGAGCACACAAACTTCGCTTACCGGGGCACCATACTGTCAATGGACGAATTCCTGCATGAATAAAGTAAGGTGCGTGGTTCTCCAATGCAACACACATCCCCTCACCCCCAGCTGTTCTTATATATAACTTTGTTTCGGTTTCACGCATGTCCTGAACTCAATGTTGAAAGGGAGCGCAAGGGTATACACATGAGCGTCGTTCAAAAACCCACCTCTTCCTTGTTAGTGATCGAATTTCAAAGGCTGATTTCGAGTGTGCTCTCACTGCAGTCGCGAAAGGTTCGCGAAGGTCCTGCGCAAGTCATGTTGGTGACCTGGCCACGCTGCAAGAACAATTGCTCTTCAGACTTCCGATTGCTTTTTCCCGGGTTGGGAAAAAGCAAATTGGAAATCTGAAACAATTTTGCTTTTTCCCGGGCCGGGAAAAAGCAAATTGGAAGTCTGAGCCTTTTGCTTTTTCCAGGCCTGGGAAAAAACAAGTTGGAAGTCTGAACCATTTGGAAGTCTGAGCAAACTGGCCTGACTGAGCCGTCTCTTGTTCATGGAGGGTTGGGCAATCAAAATGGCTTGGTTGGAAGTCTTGACCATTTTGCTTTTTCCCAGCCCGGGAAAAAGCAAATTGAAAGTCTAGATCATTTTGCTTTTTCCCGGGGCCGGGAAAAAGCAAATTGGAAGTCTGACTGAGCAAACTGGCTTGACTGAGCCGTCTCTTGTTTATGGAGGGCTGCGCCCAACCAAAAACACACCAGCATGAAAATGGCTTGGTTGGAAGTCTTGCCCATTTTGCTTTTTCCCAGCCCGGGCAAAAGCAAATTGAAAGTCTAGACTCTAGACCATTTTGCTTTTTCCCGGCCCGGCAAAAAGCAAATTGGAAGTCTGAGCAAACTGGCCTGGCTGAGCCGTCTCTTTGTTCATGGAGGGTTGGGCGCAACCAAAGCCGGAAGTCTTGATCATTTTGCTTGTTCCCAGCCCGGAAAAAGCAAATTGAAAGTGTAGGCCGGGAAAAAGCAAATTGAAAGTCTGAGTCAATTAAAGTAAAATCAAGGAGCTGTGGCCTAATGGATAAGGCGCCAGACT